CCTGACCCTGTCAGTAGAGGTGGATCCGAAGAAGGCTAGCGTATTGCCTATTCAGGGTCCGTGACCACCTGATAGCAGAGGTGGTGTGAGAGAACACCTGGCAAGATAGCTTGATATGAATCAATCCAATCAGACATCGATGACACATTGAGCACACTGACAGACCCTGTCAGTAGAGGTGGATCCGAAGGAGGCTAGCGTATTACCCATTCAGGACCCGTGCCTACCTGACAGCAGAGGTGCTGTCGTAATATAAGCACGCTTCTACAGACCACTAAAAAATAGGAATCCCGCTTTTTTGGTGTAGTGGTAAGTGCGACAGGTGCTCCGGGGGCGCGTGAGTGAACACCGGGCACGATAGCTTGAGACCAATCAATCCATTCAGACAGCGACGATGCATTGAGCACACTGACACGCTCCGGGCTTTTGTTTTTCTGCGCACTTGCGTACCTTTTTGTCGTAATAAAACAGGACGAACATGCGTTCCATAGGACCATAGCCACTCTGCAGTCTGCACATGAGGTCGCATTATCCTTTCAAGGTGCATTCTCACCTTGCTTGAGCCGGCCTTTCACTTCGCCGTTGCTGCTTTCAAAACCCACAAGCTCCTGTTCACAGATGCACGGCCAAGGTGCATCTCGTTTTGAACCCGCGCTTTGGAGCGCTGCCACTAAACGCCTGGTCGCGAAACGGTTAAATCCAGCGAGTTTACTGTTCTTTGCCGTCATGCACCGGCTCGGTACCGCAGCCTACCAGCATGCAGGGCAGGATGCTGCGACCTAAGACCACGGAAAGGTTATCGATGTCGGCATGCAGGTAAAACTGCGGCTAGAGGAGGACGAAGTGCGCCACCACCTCGCTCTATATAGCATATGTCGCATGAAGCTAAGATCGTACGCTATTATTGCCCACTTTATCCTCGTCGACATTTCTTGTCGACCGTTATCAATCTCGGACTATACCGTCACGCTGTGAGTCGTTCGACGCACTGCCAATTCCGTTGCACGTGTCTTTCTCGCGTCACTACTCACTACTCCTTGGACAATGTCGGGGCAGAGCCTTCCTTATCTTTGGGAAGAACTTGCTGTGCGCGACGATCACGACCGTCTCATTCTTGAGGAAGTTGGCTATTTTGACCTCGATCGTGCTGCCGGCCCTTTCGATTTTCAAACAGTGTACTCCTCGTTCAGACGTCTTTTGATTCGGCTAAGACTGCTTTTTGATTTGCAAAGAGCTAACTTTCAGCTTTGTTCAACCAAAGCTGTCTTCGTTCCACTTTGGTTGCACTTCCGAATCCTCTTACGGCTTATCTCACTAGGAATGAGCCTGCCACTTAAATATGGTCCAGACATAACTGAGTATCTGTTCATCCGTCATATTCTGCTCCATACACTGCTGTCTACTTTCAGAGCACTGATTTTGCGCCCGGATCGCCCAGGTCACGCTGAACTCGTCGACTTTCAACACCGCGTGCTCGGACTCGCGGCGGCGTGGGAGGGCCTCCTTCAGCGTAGCCTCAATGAGTTAGAAGAGTTTGTTCTCAAACTGCTGCTACCAAAGACTATAGACTGCCTCTTGGACTATTCCGCAGACGAAGGGATCGAAAAAATCACGTCCGGCGAGTTTCAATTACCAGAGACACCAAATCATTTCTACCCCTTCACAATAAAGTCAAGATCGAGCGACAATGAATCTGCCACAAGCATCCTTCAAAGCCTCGCGCAAGAGCTGGATAAACCGGGGTGGCTGCGAGCATTTTGGTCTTTACACGATGTCGTCTGGGCAGTAATAGCCTCCGCTGTCACAAAAGATCGCACGAATCTCGGCTTCCGACAGACCGGTAGAGGGTCAAATCCTGCGGCTGAGGCTCTCGCAGTGATATTCGCACCAGCTGAACAGAGTTCACAGCTCAGCATACGGGCCAAGACTGTGAGGTCGTTATCAAGTTTCATTGCGCCGTACAGCGCGTTGGTAACGTCTTGTTACGAGGCAAGTGCTCACGCAGTACGTGATTTTTACCTTATTTTGATATTCACGCTTAAATTTACCTAGATACCTCCTGTACTTGAAGACTACCAGCTAAATCGAAAACACCAAATGGAATTCGAGTATGAGACATTTCTCATGTACATCGTCCAACGAAAACACCAATTGGTTTCGCTATATGGCTCAAATTCCCGACAGACTAGTACTGTGATGGGTTCTGTGCCTGTTTTCTGTTCTCAAGGCAAACGTTACATGGAGCATATGCAAATGGCACCTGAGCTGGCTGGGTTCTCAACATCTCGGTCTCCATCTATCGTCAAACCAAACCCTGAGGATCCTGCAACTGGTCACAGGAATGGAATCTTAAATTCAATCTCGACTCCGATGATCCCACCTAGGAGTCCACCTCGAAGCTCTGAAGTTGGCTCTACGGACTCGTCTAATGAAATCAGGGTCGCCTCTCGGATGCAGAGTCAGTCACCAGGTCAAGCATCAAGCATCCTAACGAATCCGACATCTAGAACAGAAAGTGACAACGGATCTCTGTATGCTGAAGTTAGCGGGAAATACACTGGTCATGTACGGTCTATATCAGAACCCACTCCAAATCCACTCACCAGATTCCCCAATCACAGTACAAAAAGCTCTGGGGGAAGACGAGGTAAGATTTTTGGGTTCGGGTCTGCCTCAATAAAAGTCGGGAGTAAACACGCCAAGAGCGATGGAAGCATAATACCAAATAATTTGGTCGTCAAGTTTTCTCACACAGGTAAATCTGTGATATTCTGGACAAGGAGTGATTGTGGTTTTTTTGTATGGTCAAATCTGTTCCATAACGAGTTGAGGCGATGCTCTTTACTCTACGGAGTGCCTCCGCAGGCACAAGGTGCAATTGTAAAGCACATTTCTGCCAGCGACAATGCAGTCGCAGTCCTTGCACACTACACCGGCGATGTACGTATTGGTCACCCTTTGCTACAAAGGCTATTGAACTGAGATGAACAATTTCATAGGGAGACAGACTTTTCCATTTCTCCGATCAAGGGACTCGCTTCGAAGCACTAGGAAACACTTATCTTGGCAGTCGAGGCACAAATTGCATGGCATGTTCAATCTCTCCAAGCGGAAATCTGGTCGCTCTCGGCTGGGGGCTGACCATTCAACTGTACAAATATGACGGGCGCTCACTCTCTCTGCTCACGGCTCTTATGGTACACGAATCTCACAGTGGCGCCGTGGCCAGGTTTCAAGAGCTCAACTTTTCGCCCGATTCCGAAAGGCTCGTGTCCGCGACGCAAGAGCTGGTGGACGCTCACAAACACGCGATCTACATCCGGATTTGGAATTGTGCGACTGACTATGTAGCCCCACAATGGAGACCACAAGGTCACACCGTAACTGTTGGATACGGCGACGACACGGGAGTAACCGCAGTGTTCTTCGATCCAATGACGGTCCGAGTCCTCGTTGCGGCAAACCTGTCCAAGTCGTACTACGCAATCTTGGGTGTGAACGGATACAAGGCCGTCCTACATGGTTTGTCGCCAAGAAACGTCAGCATCGTGGCACAAGGCCCGTCAGGTAAACATTTCGTACTGAAGACTGCGAAAAATAACAGGATCCACATGCTAGATCTCGGTAATGGTGAGCTTAGTCCAGCCATCGACTTGGACAGGGAGAGCAGGGGTACGAAGCGTGAAATTGTCGCATTGGCTATGCCGCAGCTTGACACCGTGTTCGTTGCTTGCCGAGAAGGCTCTGCACTCGTGCTCAAGAAGCTTTACGTGGTGGGCGGCAGAGTCACTCAGTCGCAGACGGAAGACCTAGCCAGTTTATACCAGAGAGCTTTAGCGGCCTGCTAAATGAAACCAATTTCACGACAGTGACTGCCTGAGTCTGCTTGTACTTGTACGGCAACTTAGTATAGCATCTGCTTGCACCCTCCATGCAGATACTTCTGCTGCGTGCTGATTGGTTCGTGCTGCAGACGTGCTAGTTCCTACCGTCCACTAAGCTCCGAATGCAGCTAGCTGATTTACATTTCCGGCCATTTTGGACTCCCAGAATATGCAGTCGGAAAGGCCTTCCACCTAATCTCTGGGATAAGTATTGATGGCTTAACATTTTGGGCGTCGGGCGAGGTGCAGCACTGCATCCCGCGATAGCCATCGCTATGTCTATTGGACATGTTCTTTGGATGGCTGCATGATGCTGCTAGCAGGGCTGGATTGGACTGCCAAAACTACTTGGACAAAGAGAAACGTAGCGGTCATCATGATGATCGAACAAAACTACTCTCACATGGTCTCAGGAGGAAAATTAGTACATGCTGTTCCGGATCAACAAGCTTCGGATAGAGTTCAAAGTGCTACGCTGTACAGGGTGCGTTCCCGAGCATGTGCCTGCCATGTCGACAAGGCTACGAGTCGGCAAAGATTTATGAAGGTCAGACCAACTTTTGGGTAGGACACCACCGGCACGCCATCAAAGAAAGCCTCATTTAGGATGGAAGCTTCGCTTAGGATTGCAGAAAAATAAAAGGGAAAAAAATCGGTATAGGCGGATGGGCTCTTCTGGTATGCGCGAACAGATGTGAATTTAGTGTTAGCATGACAAAGACAGATGGAGACACACACACCCCGAACGTACAGTACTGCAGCCTCAGCTCCAAGTCAGTCCGTGCGCCACAAAACTTCAGGATGTGCCGCTGACTACAAGCTGGCTGTTTCCTCCGGTGGCCGTTCTTTGATATGTGCAGGAAAGTCCATGCGTGGCGCAGGCAGCTTTCTAGGCAGCACGCGAATATTTCTGTCGAGCTACTGTAGCGGAGGCATCGAGCAGGTGTTGGCGCGCCCTGCCACTAGCCAGATTTGCGAGCCATGCACTCAACGCTTGCATGTCGACGACGACATGCAGACGGCTGAGCATCTACTCCTGCTTGGTAGCTCTTCTCTAAGCGCCCGCCGGTTCAATCACCGTTGCTGCGAGGCTGAGCATGGAGCATGCACCGCTCCTACGCCTTCCTGCTGCTTCTTTATATCTGTTTCCTGCCGCCCTGTGTCCTTCGCAGCGCAGGATATGGGTTAACGGACGTGATCGCAAACACGAAAAGAATACTTGACGACCGATCCGATGCGGCACCATAGCTATGAATTTCGAAAGACTTGGGTCCAGCCCAGAGGGCGGCCCCAGTCGTTCATGTCTGGCCATTCAGACACTTCCATAGACAACAGGACGGAGCTGAGGCATGTATCTCGACACCCGGATTCTCCTAACACCGAGAGACTAAGCTGTTTCCTCTAGGGCGGAGCTTAAGGAGCGCCATGTGAACATGATGGCATTTTCCTACTGCCTGGGCGTTGGTCTCTTCCTCGGCTGCGGCAGAGTCATTTTTCTCGCTGGACCAGGCCTTGCTGTGGTCATGTACATTCTTGTCGGCACGGTGATGTGGTCCACTGTGGCCTCGTTGGGCGAGATGACTGCCGTCTTCCCCGTCAAAGGCGCCCTCTTCGAGTTCCCGCGCAGGTTTCTCGATCAGTCCATAGGCTTCGCGATCGCGTGGCTCGTCTGGTTCTCCTGGGTCATCGTCATCGCAGCCGAGCTCCTAGCCATCACTTCCATCTTCCGCTTTGACATTGCCAATGACTATCTGAGAGATAGACATTATCCCGAGCCAAGCGTGACATGGCAGTTCGGCAACGACACCAGCCCCGCCGTCTGGGTTTCCATCTTCCTGGTCTTGATCGGCCTGGTCAACCTGCTGCCGGTCCAATGGTACGGGCGGATAGAGTACGTATTTGGTTGCGCCAAGATGATCTTCATCACAGGCCTCATTCTTTTCAACGTCATTCTGAACGCTCGAAATCAGTGAGTGAGGATCAGAAGGCTTACGTTCATTCAAAAGGCTGACGCAGCTCGGTCCAGTTCCCAGCAGAGGTTTTGGACCTACAACGCACCGTACAGCTTTGCCAGCAAAAACATGACCGTCCGCGTGGACGGGAGCGGCAAAGCTTTGCTTGAGATTGACGGGTCCTTAGGCACGTTCGCCGGCACATGGAGCGCCATGACGGCCATCATCTTCTCGATGATGAGTTTCGAGCTCGTGGCCGTCGCAGCGGCCGAGAACCGGGATCTCAAGGAGACGGAGACGGTCAAGATCGCGTCGCGCAAGATCGCACTTCGCGTGATCCTACTGTACGCGCTCGCCTGCTTCGTCGTCGGTCTCAACGTGCCGTATACGGACAGCCAGGTGCGCGACATGGCCATCAGCAGCATCGGAGGAGGACAGGGCAGCATCTTCATCATTGCCGCCATCCGCGGGAGGGTCAAGACCTGGCCCCACATCTTCAACGGCTTCTTTATCTTCTCGGCCTTGTCTGCCGGCATCAACGCGCTATACAGCTCGTCAAGAGCGCTGCACGCCCTCGCCAGCCTGCACGAAGCCTGGCCACGTTGGGGCCCTGTCGAGAGCTTGAGGTCGAGACTGGAGAGCACTTCGCACGGGGTTCCATACTGCGCCGTCTTTGTCAGCTGGCTGTTCGGCCTGCTGGCCTTTCTGTCCACTAAGACGACGCCAGCCACGGTAAGTTTTGCACTTCGCAAGCCCGTGCAGCGGATCGTGTGCCTTACTGAGATGTTCACCAGGCCCTGGGACGCATCGGGACGAACAGCACGATCAGCATGATGATCGTGTACGCCACGAACAACGCTGCGTTTTTGCAATTCTACAGATCGTGCGTGCGCTGCCCTCTCCGCCCTATCGTTTCGTAAGCTGATAGGCACCACAGCATGAACGCCGCCGCTCGCGGCGACGACGAGAACGTCGGCAAGGACGTCGAGAAGACGCGTAGCTACAGGCGGAAAGGTGCGAAAACCCTCTTCATCTTTTTCTTTTCCTCTTGGGAAAGTATCTCGGCTTCGAGCATATGATTTCGATGGCTGACACGGGTTTTTCCAACCCCCCCAGGCTCGCAATACCCGTACAGATCGCACGGCCAGTGGCTCAGGGCCGCATACGGGCTCCTGGGAACAAGTCTGTTCGTGATCTTCAACGGCTGGCGCGTCTTCATGCCGCCCTTCCAAGTCGCGGACTTCGTCGCCTCCTACATCAGCGTACGTGTCCCCCTGCCACGCCCGCAAACATGGCCCCCTCCCCCCCTTTGTGCAGGGGCAGCAGCAGCCTCGTCACCGCCGACAGCCCGCGCTGACCCAGCTCCAGATCGTCATCTTCGCCCTCCTCACGTGCATGTACTACGTCAAGCTGAACGGGCTCGCGCCCGCCGGCTGGCGCCGCACCGCACCCAAGATGGCTGGCCTCGTCCCCGTCCAGGTCCAGGACGAGAGGTCCCGCCCGGCCTGCGACTTCTGCGGCGTCCCCCACCGCAAGGGCAAGCTGAGGATCCCGGACCGCGGTCTCACCCTCAAGAACGTCAAGTGCTTCCTTGAGTGGGCTTGGACGTGGATCAAGTAAGGGCGCGCGCGCGGCGTGATGCCCCGTCCGCGCCTCGCGCACGAGACCAGCCCATCCTTGGATCTCGCAAACATCTCGTGCATTTTCTATTTTCATATTCCTTCATTTTCTATTTCCTCTTTTTTTTTTATAAAAAAAAACCCAATACGTCTGCGCGATTGAAAGGAGTTTGTGGGGGACCGTGCGCGTCAATCGCTTCTTGTCATGCCATCCAACCCGCACACCTCGCCGTGTGCGACTGCTCGCTCGGCTCTGGGGCGGATCCGGTCGTGCGCTTTCATCTGGGGACCCAGGAGTACAGATGCACGGGGCTTGGATTGTCTTTCGTTACACGCCTTTTTTTTTTGGAAACGGCGTCCAACTGGAGCGACGGGGGTCGTGTGCACGCTGTGAAGTTTTCAGTCTCTGCGCTGCCGTCGGCGCTGGCGGACAAGGTCATCTGAGATTCAACACTGGCGGCGAGCCAAGATGAGGTATGTGAGTTATGACGGAGACAAAAAGAGAAGACCCGTCGAGGTCTCGTATAGAATCAAGATTTGCAATGTATGGATATCAGCCTCCCAAGACAAACAGCGCAATGCAGAGAAAAAAAAAAAAGAATCGCCATGGTCAAGATAGTACAAGACACGGTACACCATGTTCCCGTGCTGCCGGAGCCGTCTCTCACATGCAAAACGCAGGAAGTGATGGTCTCCTACGTGACAGAACGTCTACACTCTCACGTCTCCCCTTCCCCACTTCTGCTCTCCAAACAGCTCGCCGGCTTCCCTGCAATATCTCGCTCCCCCGCTGCCGCTGGCCATCTCGCTAGCCCAGCACACGACCAGGGCGTCCACAACGCCCACTACCACATTCTCAACAGCGCCAAAGACACTCCAACCAACGGCTGCGGCACCCAGGCCAACAACATATGCATACAGCGAACCGGTGTAGTCCGGAGTCAAGTGAGAGGAGCGCGACGTCGACACCCAAGCGCCGAGGCCCATAGCTAGCGTCATCATGTAGCGCGTTGCGTGAAGGATGAGCTTCGCGGTGCGGTACTGCGTCAGCGTGTCCGAAGGAGGGGCGTTTGCCGTTGTGGGCGTGAGCGTGGTGGTTGCTTCTGTTCGCGAGATAAACGGCAGGTTGCTCAGCTGCCGCGCTGCCACCGTGAGCGGCTGAGAGTGAATGGCCGCATACGTAAGCGTGAGCGGATTGGTGAGGGCCGCAATGGGCGATGGTATGATGCTGTAAAGACAGATGGAAAACGCGGTGACGAGTCGCCGAGGCAGCAGTAGAATAGGCAAACGCACGGCGACGACGAGGAATGTCTGCTCGCAGATTGTGCCAAACAGCGTAGACGTCGCATGAGCGAACGATGCAAGTACGACCTGGCGACTGCTAGGCGCAGGCTGCACGTTGCGATGAAAGTACCACTGGCTCGTCGTCGCCGCGGCAATTGCTCGCTGTAAGCCGGAGATGACGGACAGCACCCACAAGAGCATGAGGGCAAAGTAGACGTTGAGCCACCAGGCACTGGCATCCAGTCGCCAAAGCCCGCCTGCGAAGTGGCCCTCGAGGTTGACACGGGTGAACAGCAACACCCAGATCCAGAACCACAGCACGGTTGCAGCCTGCACCAGGAATCCTAGCGCGGCGAGCGCTGGCGATGCGGTCAAGATCTTGCAGGCAAATTCGAGAATCTGGATGGCTCGGTCAAGAGAGTAACGCGATTTATAGGCCAAATAGCACCACGTGAACGTGGCGGCCATGGGCGCGAGCGAGAGGACGCGCATGGCTTTGTCCTGGAAGCGGGTCCCATGCCAGAATCCCTTGTAACTGGACACAAGGGTATACAGCGAAAAGCTGAACAGGACCACGGGCACGGCGATCATCGTGAGGAAGGTTAGCGGTCGGATAAAGGAGCGCAGGAGGGCGAGCCATACGGCAGAGACGATGAGCGCAATCAGCGTGTCGACTCCTAGTAAGTGATAGCTCTTGTATAAGACGGCATAAATGCTGTCGCCGATGGGCGTGCCCACGGATGGCTCATCCGTGTGCAGATACACGAGCAGTGACGTTGCAAACAAGGAAGCGAGGCAGATCCAGAACAGCTGGGCCCAAAACCAGTCGTGACGCGGTGGCTCCAGGTGCTCGCTGGTAACGACGTCGGGAACGCTCTCACGATCGGGACTCGGGGGCCGCGGATTTAGACGTGATGTTTCGTCGTCCGTCTCCTCCGCTATCCAGCGATGCTCGCGTGGTATTCCACCAGCACCGGAGGACTTCCTGAAAGTCTGAAAGGGCGCGGGCTGGCTGTCGGCTTCATCTCGTGTTGCCGAGGCAGCCTCCTGATGGTCGATCGAGTCTAGACTACTCCGTCGCGAGGATGCCAGCTCAACGTCGACAAGCTTCCCTCTGCCGCTCTTGCTCATGCTGCTCTCCTGGCCGTCCTCGGCGCCTGGCTTCTCCAGGACCGATTCCCGAACTGTGGAAGCAAGCGGCCTCCTTCGCTCCCTCCGCCGGTCTCCGCGCCACGAACTGCGGATTCCTCTGCCACTCTTGTACGCATAGCTTAGTGCATTTTCACCCGCTGCCGCACCTTCCTCCTCGTCCGTTCCCGGTCCGTCGTCGTCATCCATCTCGCTCGACTCCGAGAGCTTTTCCACGCTGAAGTGGCGTCGGCTCCGCTGCAAAGCGTAGTAATCGGCAACCTCCCTTTCCCGCTCCTCAGCGTCGTCCTCTTCCCGGAATTCGTCTGTTGCGCTGTAGAAAAGCGGCGCCTCTCGAACCTGGTGCCGAGACGCGAAGGGGAAGCGAGAGACAAACTGGGAGCCTCCGGCGTGGTGGTACGGATTCGTGCTGCTTCCTAGCATGCTCGGCCGTTGTAGATAGCTCCTGGTGGCTAGTCTGCTACCTGCGGAAGGGCGTGTGTACCGCCGGTTCGTACTCATCGTTGTGGAGTCTGCGGCGGCATCGGTGGTGTTCTTGTGGTTAGGTGAAGCTGCTGATTGCTCGTCGAGAGCAAGGCGTGACTGTGACTGCGCGAGAAAGCGCGAGGCATCTGGATGGTTTGGAAAACGGTGAGCTCGCGTACGTCACGCGCAGTAAGGCGTCGTGAGGACAGGATGATGGGCACGCATGTGAGACAAATACGCAGCACGAGGGCGGCATGCTGGCGAGCCCCGGCTGCGAACGTGGAGGGCGTACGCTCATGAAGGCACGCATGCTGCAGGCAGGTGGTCGGGCACAGGCAGTACGATAAGAAAGGCTTCACTTACATTCGGAAAACATGTCGCTCGTCTGTTCTGCGGTCTTGGTGGCGGTTGCCTCTCATCCGCAGATGGACGAGATGGGCGGGATTGTTCTGGATAAGGATGGCGATACCGGAGGTCGAGTGTGCACGCAGCAGACGGAGGACAGGAGCGGAGCAGGAGATGTCCGGAGGAGGATGGAGGGTGGACAGACAGGACAAGGTTGACGATGGCTGAGTAGCACAGCGGTGGTGATGCGAAGACGGGGATACCGGTGAGCGGAGGGTGACGAGCGTGCACGGCGGTGAATGCGCTGAACAGAGAGCGGCGCAGACAGGACGAGGAGCTCTGGGCTGCTCCCTGCAGACGTCTGGCGTCCCGCTTTCACATGGGGCGCTGCTCGACCAGCCTGCACAACACCCGCCGCCGGTGCGCAACGCGGATGGAAGACATACACTCTATCTACAGCGTACGCGGGACTCGCTCCGTTCGCCGTGCACAGAGATCCGGCGTGTCGACAGAGCCGCGAGGCAGCGCGGCGGCGAATGAGCCCAGTGCAGACGAGCTGATCGCAGCGCTGGCGCGAAACCAAGCGGGAAGCAAGGCTCACGGTGATCTTGAGCACGCGATAAGACGGGCGGAGCAGCGCAAGCTGAGGCCGATCAAGGCCAGGGACGGACACGCAGACAGCGCCGGATGCGCGTGTGCGTGGCGTCCCAGGCTGCCGCAGAGGGTGCGACGACGCGGCTCACTCGAGGTCCTCGCGTGCGCGTTCCATGCAGGCCGTGGCGACGTGCTGCCGCGGTCATCCAGCGTCGCCGTCGTCACTCGTCGGTCAGTCGTCGTCACTCGCCGTAGCCGCCGCCTTGCCCGTGCTTGCTGGACGCTGCCGCCTTGCTGGCCCCGGGTTTTGCTTCTGGAACTCGCTCCCGTCTTGCGCGCCGCCTGTGACCTCATGAAGCGTTGTGACGCACCTCAGCCGTGACGACAACAGTCTCCACAACCACAACCACCACAACCATCACCAGCACCACCACCGTCACCACCAGTACAGTATCGACTCCCTCCGCAGCTGCTCTGCCGTCGCTACAGTGAGACGCCTGTGCCGCACGTGCGTTCTTGTTCTTGAGAGAAGCTCTTGTCCGCCGCTGCAGCCACCGGCCGCAACCAAGGCCTCTTGGTCGCACGAGTCAAGACCCCAGAAAAGCTGTCTCTGCCTTATCCTCCCGTCAGCTGATTGCGACGCCGTCGCCTCGACTGCTCCCAGTCCCAGGCGCTCCGAAGTTCTTTGTTCTCTGCCTCCAGCGTCTCTCGCTCGGCCACCGCCCACTCGCGTCGCCGCGCACACGATCGCGATCCACGCGTCCGCCGCTTGTCGAGTCCCTCGTCCACGTGATTTTCACTCGGTCCCGGCCGCCCGCAGAAGGAAGGAACTCCCGCGCGTCGCCCGTCGAGACCGTGTGCCTGCGCCTGCGCCTTCCGCCGGACTCGTCCACGCCGTCTCTTTCTTCTTCTTCGTCTTCTTCCACCACCACGCAGAGCCCCCGCGGCCGCCAACCCAGCCCAGCACATCCATGACCGCTCAACCATGGGACTACATCGCCAAGATCGTCTCCCTCGGCGACTCCGGCTGCGGTAAATCCTCTCTCACAATCCGCCTGTGCGAGGGCCGCTTCGTCTCCCACCACGATGTCACCATCGGCGTCGAGTTCGGCTCCCGCATCGTGCCCGTTGGCCCGCCCGCCTCGCTCGCGCTGAACATCAACAACCCCTCGGCCGTAAACCGCTACGCCCAGCAGGCGTCGCCGACGAAGAAGGGACGTGCCCAACAAGCAGACCTCCAAAAGCACATGAAGCTAAGCCTGTGGGACACGGCCGGCCAAGAAACGTACAAAAGCATCACGCGCAGCTACTTCCGGGGCGCGAGCGGCGCCTTGCTTGTCTTCGACATTACGCGGCGCGAGACCTTTCTCAGCGTCACCGCCTGGCTGCAGGACCTGCGCCAGATCGCCGAGGAGGGAATTGTGGTGGTCCTAGTGGGCAACAAGTCGGACCTAGCCCCTTCCTCGACGGTGGCCCCCTCGGGCGCCGGCTCCGGCTCCGATGGCGCGCAGGAGAACTTGCGACAAGTCACCCGCGAGGAGGCCGAGGACTGGTGCCGGGCGAACAAGGTCATGCAGTACGTCGAGACGAGCGCAAAAAGCGGAGAAGGCGTCGAGCGTGCTTTCCTTGAGGTTGCAGAGAGGATTTACCAGAACATCGAGGCAGGCAAGTACGACCTGAACGACAGAAGGAGTGGCGTCAAGAGCGCCGCCGCCAGCGGCCACGCTGGCGGAAGAGGCAGCGTTAAGCTCAGCGACGCGGCGGGAGCTGTGAAGACGAGAGCCTGCTGTTGACAAAGCTCACATGAACGTGTTGTGCGCTTGCATTTGGGAGGTGTACTTTTATATACATACTGCTCTGCTCTTGTCGATTTACAGCATGGCGTTCAGGCTTCACTATCAACGGCGAAGTAGCTTCTTCTGTTATAGATACACTGACCACCGGCGGGCATGTGAATTCCGCGGTTTTTAATCCATCTTTGAATAAGTTCTGCATTGTGCATCTACTAAGCTATCCCACGGTGCCTGCTCAAATCATTTAGTAGAGACTTTTATATTCTAGCATTTCTTCATCGCGGCATTCGAACACGGCTCGCGAGCTAAGTTACGTCTTAGCTCTTTCAACGGAAGGCTTTCCGTCCAGTCCGGATCCGCCGTGTTGAAGATACGTCTCCTGGTATGTATATACCTAGCTCATCCAGGCACGCTCCCGCGGCGCCGACGCCAGGAAAGGCGTGTGCGCCGCCGACTCTGGCGCACACGGCCACTTTGCGCTTGCCACATCCCATATCTGCAGAGCGGGTAGATCGAGGAGACGTAGAAAAGGATCTAGTTAAAGGAGCCGTTCTCCTCGGTCACCAAAGCAGTCGTGCAAGCTAGAGTTGTGCTGGAAGATTCGAACCGACTGCGAATTGCGCTTCTCTTACGCTCTTCTCACCTTCTCGCTCTCCCTCTCTCCCTGTCTCCCTCCCTCTTCTTCGATCGGGGATAGAAGGGTTTCAAATACGTGTGCATGGCCCGCCACCACCGCCGCAAAAAGTGCCTTTTCCCCAAACGGCTTGGCCGTTTCTGTGCTGCCTGCTTCCTCGTGGCGTGTGTGAGACAAGAGCTGTTTCTGCTACACTCCGTCGACGACTCGGAGCACATATATGTCCTGCGAAGGGGAAAAAAAAATAAAATTTACCTCTGAGCCTCACATCAGCTGCAAGCGGTAGCCATCGAATTCGTTTCGACGATGGCTCTTTCTTAAAAATCAACGTGGCCCAATCAGGGATCGCTCTAAAGAGGCTCTCGTCCCAGTAATAAGAAGACGGTGTTCATTGAGAGCGGCTCCTCTGGTAGATGGATCTCAGCCATCTAATTCAGGTGCGATCCCCAACCAAGCCGGGAAGCGAGAGGAGACAACCGAGCTCCAGAACGCGGAGCTTTCTGGCCACAATGCTCGCGCAAGCCGTGTGTCCGACGCCTCTGTGCCACACAGCCTTGGATACTTGGAGCTTAGCTTACAGGCCTGGCGCGTTACATCAGGTGCTGGCGCAAGCCAGTTCAGAAGAGCGGAGCGTGCTCGAGCAAGGGAAGGAGTCGAGTATGGCCAAGACTTGTACGGCGCATGCCTCGAGGATGCAGATAAGGCGGACAACGAGCTCAACAATGCAGGATGGGCTCTCTGTACCATGTCATATAGAAGCATGTATAGGACGTGATTTCTCTCACATAGAAGACTGTCCTCTGCACGGATAAATCCAAGAATACATGCATCGACATGATCAAAAATTTGCTTCCAAAAAGGCAGATGTGCACCCATTGTAAATCCATCCTTTTCCCCCTTTTTTTTTCTTCAGCACTTCTTGCTTTCTTTCCGTCTCTATAAACGCTGCACAGCAACAACCACATGCGCCGCCTAGTTTCAGACCAGCCAACAGTGCAACTCACTTAATTTGTCAAGGGCAATCTCCACGGCTACGACATAGGTCACAAATCGTGTAGACGATTCGATAGACGGCCAACCGTAACTCTCGGGGACTATTCATGGCTTCGAGTGTATATTCGTGGCCTTTCCGTGACCCTCTCAGAATCAGAGATGTCAAAGCAAGGGAGAAAGAAGAAGAAAGAGAAGAAGAAAAAGAAAGAAATCTCAAATGACTAGGAAGCCAAAAGATGGTTCTCACATGATCACAAACTTAAATAGATGCAGTCCGGATCCTTCCAGATATAGTGGCAATAGCAAGAAATGCTCCTGAAACTACTAGACATGATGTTCAGTACTCAGGTGGTAGCCAAACAGTATTTTCCAAGTTCATTACTATCCATTTTTCATCTTCGCTAGAACCAAATAGAACTACTACCAATATAGGAATTGAAAGCGGGTTCAACGGTAATATCATGTGTAGGATTCAATTGCTATCAATATGATGGTACAGCATACCATTAATTAGTAAATACTGTTCAGCTTGATCAAATGATGCGGAATACGGGGCACGGTCAAGTTGGAGCGTAGCGTCTGCAGGCACTGCCCATTGGTGGCGTCCCTGATCCTGGCCGTGCGGTCGTCGGGCCCGGTCACAACACGGCATCTGTCGCTCGACATCACCATTAAGTTAATACTCTTGCTATAGCCTTCAAGCATACATAAGTAAGATTCCTAACTATCTGCTCCTTACATGGCCATCTTAACCACCACTATATCTTCATATTGAAAATATTCCTATATCTTACTATGTCTTGGGCTAAAAATCAGTGCGGAAGCATATGCCTGGACCGGGTAACCCTCAATTACTTGCTTATAATGTATGATAAACCTGCATGCATTATAAATAATATTAAATCGCAAAATTTGCGTCCTAATTTTGCTAACATTTGTTAGATTATCGTGATATATTAGATATACATAGCTAAGCATGCCCAAATAAGATTGTAACATCTCGAGACGGAAAGAACACTTGCTGACATGCTTTCACAGAGACTAAGCGCCTCAAGCTAGCAGAGATACTTTTTTGTCTTTCAAAAAAGTTGCATGCGGGCAGAACGAGCAGACTATTAGTTGTCCCAACTTTTAATAGCAAGTCGCAAGTATGGTCTACCCAGTAAACACATGCGGACCGCGCCGTGACAAAAGGATTGTCGCAAGTCACGTGAGCCTGACTCAGCAGATATTCTGGGGCTTATCTATAAGTTGCTTCAGGATTGAAACCGAACAACTAATAATCCAATCCACTATGCAATCAATGCAATATTTCGCACAATAATCTCTTCCTTTTTCCTTCTTGTACGCTGCACAACAGCGATTCCTTCGCATGGCTTAGCTTAGCTAGGCACTCACATGCAACAGTTATGAGCCCGGTTTGCCTCAAACAAGAAGGAGACTGAACCGGAGGCATCGCTAGGTATCTAGCAGGCCATTTATTCCTGATCCATATGGCTGAATGATCAGACATGCACAGCGAGCAAGTTAAGACTCCATTTATCTGAGGCGACAGCGCTGTGAGAGACGTCTCGCGGTTCCGCAACGACTTCCTATAGACCATGCTTCATAGGAAGCCGTTGACGATGCTTAGCATCGGAAGGGCTGGGAAAACTAGCAAGCTGCCAATGACCCTGATGAAGTGTAAACCGGCATCTCAAAGCCCATATCTCCTCAGCATATGTGACAGAAGACCAAGCCAGCAGCGAGCAACTTGACTACGCACAGAAGTAAGGCACCATGGCTGATCACCTGGATAAGGCCTTAAGCGAGTAAGTCAGCAACTGCCTGCGCTATTTTTCAACCATACAGCAGTTACCAGCAATACACTGCAGCACTGCTAAGGTTATGCAAGGCAAGGAGATACCTTGTAAAGCTCCAGCGATATCGCTCAGAGAACAGCGAGAAAGACAGGTCGCCAGAAATGCTTTACATAGCAAGGACACTCAGCTAAGTTCTTACATTGACTGCTTATAAGCATACTCAAAGCAATTCTAGAAGCGATCGCTAACTGTTTAAGCAAGAAATTAAATAAATAATCAAAGCTAAAGCAATGGCGCTTGCAGTACCTAAGGTTCCGCAGCTCAGTTCACCACAGGACTGGATACAATGGTTCAGTATGGTGAAAACAACTGCAATAGATCAAGATGTGTGGTCCTACTGCGACCCCGATCAAAGCAATAAGCTACTTCAGCCAGGCGATCCAAATCAGCTGACAGCTACTCAAGAACGGCTGTATACGCTTAAAATCAACGATTACGAGCGGAAGCGGAAAGGCCTAGCCAAAGTCAACGCGATCATTCAAGGTACAGTTTGCAAGGACTATCAAACCTACCTTGAAGATGCCTATACACCTAGGCAGAGGCTTACTAGACTGCGTACTGCTATTAAGCCATCAACAAGGCAGATCGAGGATCTTGCTTGAGAAGAATATGAAAGCCTAACAAAGGGCCCTAAGCGGATCTCTATTGACAAGTGGCTTAACCGATGGATCGCCTTAGCACCTAGGCTGAGAGCATTGAATATTCCAAATCTAGGTGAGGCGCAAGCGTGCCGCGGCTTCATCCTAGCTACCGAGACCATCAATCCAGCATTCTACAACAGTGCTATGAGCGATCTCGGCCAAGCAGACAGGGAGACTGGTCATGTGGATCGGCTCAAGGCAATGCTAGAGCTACTTAGGGATAACCTCTATGGACCTGAAGATAATGATAGCTCAGCGGATACCTTGTAAGTAACCCCAGCATAACATACAGCCTTTAATAATCAGCTTAAGTCAATAAGAGATGATTACAATCCAAACCGCCTCACGCTGGCAAGCTTAGTAGGTCGATTCAAGGCAATGCAGCCAAGCAAGCATAGCCAGCGCCAGCCAACCAAGGCAGCCTATACGACTTTTCAGGGCCGCAAGCATGATCGCGAAGATAGTGACATATCAGCTGATCAATCGGATGGTTCATATCAACCAAAGAAGAAAAGAAAAGCAAACAGATCAAGCGGCGAGCAAGATACCCAACTATCATCAAAGCAGAAGCTGCAACAGAGGTGTATATGCGGGAAGGGTCACCCATATACCAAATGCTATTATCTTGTTCCTACAATAGCACCCTCTGACTGGAAGCCGAGGGAGGCTACTTGAGCAAAGATCATCAGTTTGCTGCAAGGCAATCAACGACTCAATAATACTGTACAAGCGACTCTAGATAAGGCTAGTATTGAGATACCCGACTGGTATCCCAAGCGAGATGCGGGCAAGTCTAGATCCGTTATGTCAGTAGGCCGAGCTGCATTTGGAGTGCAACGGCTTGCTATGTCAACAGAAACAACCGCCGATCATGCAAGCTTATTCCGCCTTGATTCATGCTCAAACACGCATGTGTGTAATGATCACAAGAGATTCGAAAAACTGACTCCGATTCAAGATGAGGAGGTCAAGGTTGGAGACACTTATACAGCAATTCAAGGTATAGGGACGATCACTATAGCAGTCAATGGATTGCAAGGCCGAATGCTGATCGACCTACATGACGTCGCCTATTACCCCGGGTTTCACGTCAATCTGGTTTCTTATCCTAGACTCAAAGCTAAGGGGGTGAGATGGAACGATGAGATCGGATGGCTAACACTGAACGACGAGCGCTACATGCAGGTGTTTAAGCAAGATAGATGGCCTATCATTGAACACCCAGAAGTTTCAACATCAACATCGCTGGCGATGGCTAGCAGCAAGCAGCCTCCATCCTCATCAGCATCAATCGACCGATGGCACATCCGGTTAGGACATCCTAGCCTTGAGGTACTCAAGCACCTTGAGCAGCACACTAAGGGAGTCAAGATGACAGCACAGCCATCGAGGCTGGTCAATCAGCTATGTGCCGAATGCATCCAGGGACAACAGCGACGTCAGCGACAGCTAGCCCCAGTTGATCCCGGTACCTATCCCTTTGAAAAGGTCCACTTTGACCTCATCGAGATCGAGCAAGCATTCAATATTGACCGATGGGTACTGCATTTCTATTGCGCCTATTCAGGTTTCCATGTGGCATATACCCTATCATCAAAGAATGGATCACTTCTAGCACAAGCAACAGAATCATTTATAAAGCTAACACAAGCCTGGGGTTATACCATACGGCAACTGCAATCAGATGATGAACAAGGGCTGAATCAACAATGGTTCGAGCTAATTCGATCAAATGGTATCACACATCGCCCATCAGCACCGTATACGCCTGATCAAAATGGCGCTGCTGAATGATCTGGGGGGGTGATCACGACAATAGCTCGAAAGATACATCTTGAATCCAAACTACCAATCAGCTTATGGCCTTTCTTTGTGGACCATGCTATCCGTATAGCGAATCGGCTACCAATCCAACGCAGACAATGGCTCACACCATACGAGATGGTGCATGGCAAGCCGCCTAACTTAGCTGGCTATAAGACAATCGGTTCAAAGGCATACGTGCTAATCAAGAATGAGAAAGAAAGACCAAAACGGCACAAGCTGCGCAGCAAGTCGATTATCGGCTATCTCCTGGGAGTCGAATCTGCGAACATATACATTATATGGCTACCACAACTCAATCAAGCGATCTATATAAGAGATGTTATCATCGATAAGCAGCAATGCTATGAAGCTAATGAACAAACAAGCACCGATTCCTCGAACCTTCTATCAACCGCAAATAAGATTGACCTCAGCGATAGCGAGATCGAAAAGGCAATCAGCCGAGAGTATGAAGCGCAACTACAACCTAATCAACCTCAGGCTACCTCGACGCCTCCACCGGAACCGGAAGAGATTCAAGAGGAGCCTCCAGCAGAGGTACAGACCGAACCGCAAGCCCAAATATATATGCCACCATCACCAGTGACCACAGTAACCAGTCAGCAACAACAACCTCAGCCAATAGTTATTGATGCCCTTCGCAACCTTCGAACAAGCTCAGGTCATACAATCACCCAATCGAGCAAGGCCAAACAAGCTACAAGTGCTCAGGCAGTCAAGCGCTTAATTGATGAGTTGGATAGCAGAGCTTATAGGCATAGCTATTCACTTAGGCGCCTAAAGTTTGACTCAGGCATACGACAAGCATTTGCAGCCGCCTCAGCGATATCAATTAGGAAACATGGGACGCAGCTCGAGCCACCGCCAAAAAGCTGGCACCAAATGCTCAAACATCCAGAAGCACAGGGCTTCATCGCTGCAGCACAAGCCGAAATGGATCAACTACAACGTAATGAAAGCTGGCAAGAAGTGCAAACACCTCAGGAACAGCAGGTGCTACCACTCAAATGGGTCTTTGCCTACAAACTAGATCCTGAGGGCTATCTTCTAAAGCATAAGGCGAGGTTATGCGTTCGAGGAGATCTACAATGGCCAACATATGATGACATATATGCGGCCACAGGCGCATACCGAACACTGCGCATCCTGCTTGCAATCGTTGCAGCCTTTGATCTCATATGCGAGAAGGGGGATGTCAAGAATGCCTTTCCTAAAGCTTGGCTCGATCGGCCAGTCTATACACACACAGCACCTGGCTATAGATCGAAAGGCATGGTCTATAAGCTACAGAAAGCACTATACGGACTCAAGATCTCACCAAAACTATGGTACACAGAGCTATCAACCAAGCTGAAGTCACTCGGATTTGAGCCGTGTCCAGATGAGACATGTCTGTTCATCAACAAGGTTACCCAGATACTGATCTTTGTGTATGTCGATGATATACTATTCATAGCTCATCCATCACGCCGAGCTAATCTTGATCAGCTACAGCGCGAGCTACACAATAAGTATGAGATCCAAGGGCTAGGACCAGCAACATCATTCCTTAATATTCGAATCATTCGAGATACCGAAGCGAAATCGATCTGGCTGCTGCAAGACACCTATATTGAGAGAATTGCCCACAAGTTCAGACAGACCAAGCGCGCCAAATCGCCGTTATCCTCAACAGCTAAATTTGAGCCCTACGAGGCCCAAGCTAGCCCTGAACAAATAATGGCTTATCAGCAGCGAATTGGCTCAATCCTTTATGCGGCAGTGGTTAGCAGACCAGATGTAGCATTTGCAGCAAGCATACTAGCACAATTCAGCCAGAATCCATCACCGCAGCATACTGAGGAGGCCAACCATGTGATCGCATACTTGAATAGCACCAAATGTCTTGCACTGAAGTACAGCAATCAGCCTAGCACCAATCAGGACAAGCCGAGCATATTCCAAGCATCAAGCGATGCCTCGTTTGCAGATGATCCGACCAATCGGCGTTCAACACAAGGCTATATGCTATCGCTATTCAATGGGCCAGTCGCCTGGCAAGCAAGCAAGCAGAAGACAGTAGCTACGTCAACTACTGAAGCCGAGCTATTATCACTCTCACTAGCTGCAAGAGAGGCTATAGGCCTTGTTAGGTTATTTAACCAAATCGGGCTAGATATCGAGCAGCAACTGACTATCCTATGTGATAATCAACAGACAGTTAAGCTGATCAATAGCGAAAGACCTCAGTTAACCACCAAGCTTAAGCATGTCGACATCCACCATCACTGGCTTAGACAAGCAAGGCAATCGGGCACGCTCGATATTGATTGGGTGCCAACAAGCTCGATGCCGGCGGATGGCCTTACCAAAAGACTATTAGGATCAAAGCATGCAGAATTCATCAAAGCTATAGGGATGGAGGATACTGCTGATAAGCTTGAATCATGTAAGGGAACAACAGATTGCAATAGTGATAGCCACAGTGATAGCGATGACATGCAGGTATAGAAAAATTGAAAGGCAGTCCAAGCGATTGATCTATAATAAAGCTATTATAGATCAAGATCGCTAAG